GTATGTATGTATGTATGTATGTATGTATGTATGTATGTATGTATGTATGTATGTATGTATGGGTACAATATAAGGAAATGAGATGTAAATTGTAAACAGCAATTTGGAAAGAAGGATAGAAAACTTTGCTATTAAATATTATGGATGTTTAGCTAGAATAGGACATAAGGATTTAATGTCATTGGAGGATTTTAGAAATGGTAAATGTAATGCCAGTATGTCGTTATGTATTAAACCTTGGTATATTTTATGATGAAGGACATTTAAACAACTATAGTCAAATGAAAATGGAGGTATGACGACGGTAACATGTATAAATATCTGAGTTAAAATACTCGAGTTAATATAAATTATGCTTGATGACTGTGGAAGAGATGCATGAAAGTTTTTCGTAACCAACTGATACACTTTCTACACTATGTAAAACAGTGTGTAAAGAAGGAAGATTTTATGTGTTGTGTTTGTTTTGAAAATTAAAAATAAAATAAAAACGTTAATTAAAAAAAAAGATTAGGGGAATCTAATATTTCAATCTGAAGTGGAAAAATGCTTTGGTTCTAGCAGAAGCATAACTGCTATTGTGTATATTGGCCCACAGCTCCTTAAAGAAATTGTATTGATTTCTTTAGTCACTATTGAATTTCAGTTTACTTAACTGGGTGGACTGAAAGCTCAATCCTAAAGATAAGGAAGTTAAACACACCCACTCTGCATATAAGGTGATCAAAATACATGTAATAAAAAACTTGTATAAGCCAATATTTAACAAACAGGTACATTGTTTATGATAGTAGGAAGAGATTTTAATAGCCTTGTTTTTTAGGGCTTAACAGAGGCTAATGTTTATTGCCTTATACATAATCTGCAATTGATGCCATTTTAACAACTCTGTTCATTGTTGTTTATTTCCATGTTCTCCAACAGCGCATGTAACAAGATCAATATTCATAGGACATTCCACTATTTTTTAAAAAAATATTAGAAAAGAGACAACCTGTGACCCCTTGGGTCCCTACTAATGCCTCAGGCAATGGCAGAGCTTCTAGCGTGCTGAAAAAGTCCTTTACAATTTAGGGAGATATTCAGAAATATATCTGCCTTGAAAGTAACCTGTGTTAAACCATATAGCACCATCAAAAGTTAGCAGTTGACCACAGAAAATGCTTTATGACATTTTGTATTATGTCATACAATGTTTTACAGTAATTTCTCCAAATCTGGAGGTACTTGAGTCGTTTTTGCAGGTTGACTGAATCTTGAATGCTTATATTTGTATTGGGATACTTACTCATATAATGGAGTGCCTCCTCAGCAAGAACAGGAGAAGTTTCAGGACCATGACCGTGAGAACTTCTTGACTGTATCCAGTCATCATTTACAGGAAGATATAAAGAATCCACGTGTAGTTTGTACTGAGGCAGCTGTTCTTCTAGCATGCTCACTAGCTCTACTTCGGGAAGGTCCTCATTAGGGCAAACATCTAAAGGGATATGCAAGACAACATGTTACAGATCAACTTTCAAAGAGAACCATTTTTTTCTTTGCTAAATAGTTTTCAACACTCGGAAACAAAATGACTAATGTTATCCATTCTGATTTGAACTAAGGCCACAAGTCTTAAATGTTTACCTTTCTTAGAAATCAATTTTAAAAAGCAATAATTGTTTTTCTCTTACTCCAGCTTTTATTAGTATTTTAATTTATCCTTCATTTAAAAAGGCAGCATTCCTTTTAAAGGAGCTAGCCCTTCATGGTTTAGGACCTGGCTACCTGAGAGACCGCCTCCTGCCATTTACCTCNGCTGCGTTCCTCGCCCATTCGTCCAATGAAGCCCCTTGTACAAAAAAACTCGCAAATTGAACTCACAAGGTTTTTTTTACAAGGACGAAAGGGCGAGGAACGCAGCGGAGCTGTCAGTCTCCCGTAGCACTAGGATAAATGTCTCGCTTGTCCCCCCCCCACTGCTACCCCTCATTAAAGGGAAGTCGGGGAAGGGAAGCAGCCAGGCCCACCGTTATCATTGGGCTTGGCGGGAGGTGTTCCTTTTGCGTGAGAGGGAATGGGGTGCGAGGGGCATTGCTGGCCTGCCACCTCCCACCCCACCCGCAATGTAACGGCTGCCTGACTTCTTCCCTTCCTCGATGGCCCTTTAGCGAGGGGTGGGGGGGAGAAGCGAGACGTGGGTCCTAGCGTGGAATGGCACTGTTCTCTGCCCTTTGCCCGCCTATTTCGCCCCCAGGGTTTCTTCCTCAGTCATCCACCTCTTATCACTTCGCCTCTGCTGTGAGGCACCCGGCTGTTCGTCCTTTTCTTCCGTCCCCAGCCCTTCCTCATTGAGCCTTTGGAGAGATACTCTTTCTTCGTGCCTCTCTCTTTCTCCCTTCCCTTCCTCCGATTGGCTGGTGGCTAACTGTCTCTTGAGCCCAAAAGGCCGGGGTGAAGAGTATCTCTCCCAAAGGCCCATGAGGAAGGGCTGGGGACGGACGAGAAGGACGAACAGCTAGGTGCCTGACAGCGGTGGCGAAGTGATAAGAGGTGGATGACGGGGGGGAGAAACCCTGGGGGCGAAATAGGCGGGCAAAGGGCAGAAGGAGAACAGTGCCATTTCGCGCTAGGATGCGTTCACGTTCCTCGCCATTGTGTCCAGGGAAGCCCCTGGTTAAAAAAAAAAAGAAACCCTTCTTGCGACTTCAAGAAGTTTGATAGAACTCGCGAGAAGTTTTTTTTTTACCAGCGGCTTCCCTGGACACAATGGCGAGGAACGCGACTGAGCTGGAAAGGTAAAAGGCACGCCTCGCTTCTTGCCTGCCCCAGAAAATAATCAGCCCTCCCCTATAATAAGCCCAAGGCCATATTTCATGGGTCAAAAAAATAAGGCCCTGTTTAACCACAGTCTCCTGTTATCGACCATGGTATCCTTCTGCGACGACTGCGGGAGGTGGGAGTGGGAGGCACCGTGCTGCGGTGGTTCTCCTCCTACCTCTCGGACAGGTCGCAGTCGGTGTTAGTGGGGGGGCAGAGGTCGACCCCTAGGCCCCTAAAATATGGGGTGCCTCAGGGTTCGGTCTTATCCCCCCTACTATTCAACATCTACATGAAACCGCTGGTAGAGGTCATTCGCAGGCACGGGATACGATACCATCAATATGCGGACGACACCC